CAGTACATGCCGATGCTCATGCCGTGTTCACACAGAGGCCAGCAAAGGGTGTCAGATACATGCCCATGCACATGCCTGGTTCACACAGAGGCCAGCAAAGGGTGTCAGATACATGCCCATGCACATGCCTGGTTCACACAGAGGCCAGCAAAGGGTGTCAGATCCCCTGGAACTGGAGTTACCGACAGTTGTTAGCCACAATGTGGGTGCTGCAAACCAAACCTGAATCCTCTGCAAGAACAGCCCCAGAAAATGTCTTTCTTTTGATTAAATACTAATTAGATATCCTGGAGAAACCCTAAAACTCCATTTACTCAAAAGGGTACAATACTATAAAATGAAGATTTTATTTCTAGTATAGGAGAATAAAATATTAAAATCATGGTTTTATTTTTATGAGATAAAAATTCATGGAGAAGCAAATTCATGAAATATTTAATAATGATTTTTAATGTCAGAGAATTCAAAATGCATGTTTATTAAACAATTTGAAGTTGAATATATTCAATTTTTATATTTAATGGAGAAAAATTATGAGATTTAGTCAAATACTCTTGAATATTTTTCTATAACTCCAGAAAATCCTTCTGTTCTCACTGCTTTCCCACAGTAATGAAGACCTTCCAAAAGAGCACTTTCCAGAGTGCTTGAAAACCTGTGATTTATAAGAAATGCTACTTTGACTTTTAAGTTATTATCAGCCTGAAGAGCTCCTCGAAATCAGACTATTATAGACTCTACTCCCAAACCACCACTAGGCAATGAAGATGAATCTGCCTATTACCAGGTTAGGCAGCAGCTATTATCATGGCTCCTTGATTTCTTTCAAGTAGCTCCAGTGGAAAAAGCCACAAGTGAATAATAAAGATCTCATAATAGCTCTTAAGAATTCTTTATGTGATAGAAGGCACTAAAATGAACTCCAGAGAGTTTAAAAGAAAAAAAAAACCCTCATCTCCTGATAAGAAAAAATAATTAATCTGACTTAATGCATCTGAGAAGGCCTTCTACAAATCAGACTTTTATACTTCAAGAGCCAGATGAAAATCATATACTAAAAAATATGTAGATATTGTCTTTTAAGGACACAGAGCACATTTCTAAATCTGCAGGCGTTTTTAGGTCTTTTTGTGAAGCGTTGTGTGTGACTCACAGGGAAAAGTGTGAAGTACTTACAGTGCTTAATTTGCTGGAGGTGATGATGACGCGCCTCTCGTGCAGCATGCTGGCATACAGCTGCAGCATGTTGTTCACGTCCACAGCAACAAAGTATTCTGTCAGGTTTCTCTGCACCAGGGAAAAGAATGTTTGAGTTGCAGCTTGTGTTAACACAAGGGGAAACATTTTATATATTTACCATCTTTAAAGTTCAAAAGAAGTTATTACTAAAAGTGGCATTTCTTACATAATTAAATTTAATACTATTCTGCTGCCACATGATGCATACAATATTCTGTTATTTAAAGCATAACCCACTCTATACAAATGTTTCTCAGAGGATGAACAAAGGATCCCATACTTCCCAGTGTCCCTCCCCACCTCGAAGTACCTGAAAGAAAGTTATTTCCTGAGCTCTAGCCAAGTCCTACTGAATTATAGCTTTTGAGTATGTTTCCAAGAATCAGTCTTATACAAATACTTCTGGTGCTTCCTGTATATACTTTTCTGTTACTCTGGAAAAGTACATTTGAGTCCCTTCATGCTTACCATTCACTCTACAGGGAAATCACTTGTTTGCACACACAGCACCCAAAGGATGAGGTGTGCTTTTACCCCTCATGAGGCTTGTTCTACACTACTATACCAAATATAAGTTTGTGATGTTCTAAATTCATTTCTCAACTTAATACACACCTAAGAGTTTCACTCCAAAACAGAATTGGGATAAGCTACATTAACTGCTTTTTAGGCTCTGTCCTTCTTAGTAAAGGTTTTTAATTCCTGTAATAAAACTTAAGCATTTTCAGGGGGGCTGAAGAAATGGCTCAGTGGTTAAGGGCACTGACTGCTCTTGAAGAGGACCCGGGTTCGAGTCCCAGCACCCACATGGTGGGTACGAACCGTCCTTAACTCCAGTTCCAGGGGAATCCAAAGCCCTCTTCTGACCTCCGTGGCATTCCACGACATGGGTGCATTCACATACATGTAGACAATACACTCATACACATAAAATAAAAAAATAATTAATAAATTTTAAAATAAAAATGAAAACTCAGAAAAAAATCTTAAGCATTTTAGAAAGCAAAGTGATGAAGAAAATAAGTAAGACATTCCAAAACGCAGAACTGTAGGACCAGATAGGTGAAAATCTGAAAGACCTAACATTTTAAGTTGGGCAAGAAAGCCACCTACCTGTTCCTTCCATTTTGAAAAGACCGAGGTCTTACAGCGCAAGCTGGCAATCATGGCATAACACATCGATAGAATATGAAGTCTCAGTCAAGATACAGTAAGCCCTAAAGTCTTGGTGAGTGATACTTATTCATGTGGAGAAAGGCTCATTTCCCATTTCTCTGAAGCCTTCCTCCCCTTCCAATTCAACTCTATATGCAAAACTACTTTTCTACCATTCAATATAACTCTTTTTTTTTTATAATCTCAAAGAAAGATTATTTTAAAATGGATTATTTCTGAAGGCAGGCAGATCTCTGTGAGTTCAAGACCAGCCTGGTCTATATTGCTTGATGTTGATGCTCTTGCTCACAGTCTCACCCCAAACAAGACATTCTGAAAATGTGTCAATGACAATATAAAATTTATATTTTTATATTCTCAGTGGCAGATTTTGAAGAGACTGTTTCTTTAAATATTTGAAAATAATAGCCTTCAAAAATATAAAACTAGGGCCCTCTAGATAGCTCAGCAGGTAAAGGCACTTGCCTCCAAGTCTGATGATCTGAGATTGATCCCAGGATACACATGGCAGAAGAGAGGGATGCCTTCCACAAATTGTACTCTGACCGCCACAAGTACACCAAGACACATAAACACACACAGACACACAGACACAGACACACACACACACACACACACACAAAGTAAATATATGTAAAAATTAAATAGAAAAATTTTAAATGAAACTATTAGTTGTTTATTAGTAAATATATGAGAAAGGTAACTAGAAGCCACAGCAGAAGGAAGTAATTTGCATGAAACTCTGAAGTGATGGGGCCATGGACATCTGAGCCAGACCATACTGAGGTGCCCCAGGTCTCTTGCCCAATAGGAACAGCAGTCAATAATTCACTATGAGACTCAAGAGCATCAATGGGCTATCCTGGACCCATATTATAGGCTTATGCAGTCGTTTTACATAACTTACCTGAAAAACCCTTTCAAAGAATTTCATAAGACTTATCTGTTAAAGATGTAGTTTAATTTGATAGTCTTGATTTCATATTAGAAAATGTACAATTGAGGGATTAAAGAGTCAGTAAACTGCTTGCCACACACGTTATGAGGTCCCAAGTTCACATTCTCAGCACCCATGTAAAAATCTTGGTTTCGTGACATGTGCTTATAATCCTAGCATTTGGGAGGTGAAAGCACCTGGATTTCTGGAACTCACTGGTAGCCAGTCTTGCCAAAGTGCAGAACTCCAGGTTCAGTGAGAGACCCTCTCCCAAAAAGTAAGGAAGAAGGTTATAGAGGAAGACACCAATGTTGACCTCTAGCCTCCATACACACATACTTATGCACATGACATGAATGTACACATGAAGCCATACACACAAACACACAGAAAATTTCCATTTGTTTTCTTGGAATTCATATTCTTTATGCCTTAGAAAGCAAATATTATATAATTTGAAAAATATTTGGAAGAACACGCTTCTAAGGTGAACATAAGTATACCTGGAATAATTCTGCCTATTGATTTCCTGTGTTTTTGGTGCTGTTAACCCATTTAACATTCAAAGGAGAACTGAAGAAAAGTTATGTAAGGGAGTTTTTCTTTTTCCCAAAATTATCAAAAGGCTGAAAGTATATTTATTATTTGCATTTATCCATGAGAACTTTTATACAAATTATTTACTTGAGATAGCTATTGAGAAACTAGAAACATTTCTAGTATAGCTACAATTAAGACTCTTGAATAAATTTTAAAATATTACAAGTTTTATAATTTCTTGTAATACCCTTCAAGCCTTATAAAATACTTATTGCTCTAAATTAAAACCAGGAAATCAACAACCAGGACACAAAAAAATTTAAACAAAGTTACAGATGAGAAGTCTAAAATTCTATGGTGAGTTTGCTGTAGTAACTTACTTGTGTGAAATCTCCCTAGCTAGCCTTCTTTCCTACTAGTAGAAACCTCAACACTTCCTAAAATCCAAGATAAGGAAGCTCTGGACATGACTCTGTGAGAGTGTGTGTGAGTGTATGTGTGTGTGTGAGAGAGAGGGGGGGGGAGGGAGGGAGGGAGGGAGGGGGAGTCGGTGGGGGATGGGTCCCTGCTAACTAGCTCAATGCTGGCAATGCTTTTCCTATCACTGTCCTTAACAATATACATTCAGGAAGGTATAATGGGACAGATAAGAGGAGAAGGAAATAACACCTTTATTTCTTAATCCTTTGTTATTTCTCAGAATCATAGACAACTTCATGAATATTATAGAGAGACCAAAATAAATGTTATAACATAAATACAGTTAAAAAGTAGAAAACAGGAACTTACACTCTCCGGTATTGTTGGGAGTCCAGTTATGTCAGGGGCAATGAAACAGGAATGCTAATCACACATAAACCACAGAAGAAAAGAAGAATTTAAAACTGGTATACAAATATATAATTTGGGTTAAAAATAAGAAAAAACACTAAATGTGAACGTGATGGCCTGACATTCTAGGTTTGCTGAATTTGAGAGACTCTTAAATGAAAGAGCAGATTTAAATGTGATTTAATAACAACTTCCTCATACAAGAAATAATAGTTAAATATATATGACTGTGAAACTAAACAGAAGTTGAATTAGAATCTGGGCAAGGTTAAAGCAAAAAAAGAGTCTACCATCTAAAGTCTACATATGTTTGAATGTATATCTATGAAAATGTATTCTGAAAATGTATTTAGGTAGACTGGAAAAGTAAAACACGTTATTTCAGGAGTCTTTAAAAATCTACTGATCCCTGATAAGTTATAATAAATATATTCTGTAGCAAATATAGTATTTAGAAAACAACAATGAAAGATAATTTTTAAATGGTTAAAACATTAAAATGTTTTACTAACCAAAACTCTAACTCCCAATAAATAAACATTAACTTACCAAAAAAAGCAATATTATTGGTATGTATAAAAAAGTATATTGTATACACACAACCCATTGTTCCCACAGTGATAACCCACTTTATCACCCAAAATCAATGTGAAACAATAAAAAGTTTTATTTTCTGTTCATATTATTCTCCAAAAAATTTCAATGTCTTATCTACAGAAGGACAGATTTATCACTGTTTTACAGCTAAAGATTGGAAAAGAAACATTCAACCAGTATTAGAGCAGAGGTGAACTAGTCAGAAGCTAGCTCACAGTCATAATGCATGATTTTCCATGGTGGAAGAACAATATGAGGCAAGTCACAAGATGATCTTGTGATCAAAATGTATGACAGAAATTTCATGCAGTAAATGTGCTTTAGCATATGACTGAAAATAGAGAAAATGCATAAACCTGAGTCTCTATTGACTACCTTTATTTGGATGTGCTTTTCATAATATTGTACATCATAAAATCACTAAAAAGAAAGTATAAACAGAAAATATATCCTAAACGATTATTTTTAAATAGTCAATTTTCTATTTCCCAAAGAGCCCGAGTGAATGATAAGGCACAGTGATTTTCTAGAATAGTGATTGTGAGAAGCCAATGTTCCTTAACTCACCGGTATTAGTGAGGGCTGATCTTTCAGAACTTGCCCACTGGCAATAAATATCTCTTGGTTCTTATAATATGAGAGAAAAATACAAGAGTTTCATGCTTAAAGGGGAAGTATGCATAAAAATTTCCTGCACACTGAGACAAACCTGTACAGCTACATTATTCACTGAAAACACCTGAATAATATTAATTGTACACGCTGCTACATGCTCATCTAATCTGCTGATTTTATTCCAGAAAGGTTCTAAAGAAAGTTTTATATTGGAAGTAGAAAATGCAGTGGATATTTAATGATTTTTGAAATACAGTTGTAAAAACTCACTTATATTACATATTAACTTTTCATAAAATCTTTGATATTTCGTGACCAATATTACTTATAAGAAAAAACAAAAGACTTTACAATTCATCAGTTTTAATATGGCAAGATAACATTAAAGTCTCCACTAGTAGTTGAAGATAAGTGCTTTATCCCACACTGCTGATCTTTAACAGACAACACTAGGCACACTGCTTTAGTAATATGCTTAATCAATGAACTTCTCGCAAAAGTAATAAACGGGTTTTACTAGTGCTTTATACTAGCTTGAAAACATGCAAACAAGATTTGAAAACTACTACAGATCATTCATTCGAAATCCTAACTGGTCCACAGGTACCTAGAATGATGTTTAACATTACCTGAATCACTAGAGAAAGGCAAACAAACAAACTGCAATGTGTTATCACGTCACTCCAGTTAAACAGATATTATCAAGAAGAGAAAAACAACAAGTTCTGGGGAGCCATAAGGAGGAACACTAGGGGCTGGAGAGATGGCTCAGGGATTAAGAGCACTGGCTGCTCTTGCAGAAGACCTGGGTTCCAATCCCAGCACCCACATGGTAGCTAACAACTGTTGTAACTCCAGTTTCAGGGAATCAGAGACCCTGTTCTGCCCTCCATGGGCATTGCATGACACAGGTGCACTTACATACATGCAGGCATAACACTCATACATATAAAATAAAAATAAATAATTTTTCTAAAAAGAGGAGCACTATGTGGGGGTGGAATGTTAATGTATGCAGCCATTATGGAAAACCTATGATGGATTCTCCAAAAATTAAAAAAAAAATTGCCCTATGATCCAGCAATCTCATTATTGAGCCTAAGTACAAAGGACAGCACATCGGGACATCTGCACTCCCATGTTCACTGTAAAAACAACAGAACTCAGAACACCCATGTTCACTGAAGCACTATTCATAATAACCAAGATATGGATTCGACCTAAGTCTAACTAGTTATCAATGGATACGTATTTTTCAAAACTGATGATGCAGGGGGAGCGGGGCGGGGGAAGAAAGAATAACACTATTCAGCTATTAAAAAATGAAATTTTGTCATCTGTGACAATATGGGTGATGGGGTGAATTGGATGAAGAACATTATGTTACCTGAAGTAAGATAGTCAACATGTGATTTCAGCCACATAAGCAATCTAAAAGTACTTCACCTCATAAAAGCAGAAGGATACCACAATGCACCAGTTAAAGAGGTATAATTATTCAATAATTATAAAGAAAATAGGGGATGAGGATGTAGCTCAGTGGTAGAGAGCTTCCCCAGCATGCCAAATGGATCCAATCCTCTATATCAAAATCAGAAAACTTAGGGGTCTATTTTTAAGTTTTTATCTTATTTTTATTTATATGAATGTGTGTATATGTGTTTTAAGTATGCATACATGTATTCAGGTGCCCATGGAAGCCAGTAGAGGGAATCATATCCCCTGGAGCTGAAGATACAGGAGGCTGTGATCCACTGCATGAGGATCTGGAAACCAAATTTCAGTCCTCTCTGCAAGAGCAGCCAGTGCTCTTAACCACTGAGCCATCTCTCCAGCCCCACATCACGGTTTTTTTTGCTATTAATACTGCACAATAGCTCCCTCCATAACTTAAGCACCTATATCTTCCACAGCTCTTTGACCAAGTATAAAAATTACTTTATAAATTTAATAGTTTAAAAGACAATGTCTTCTTTTTGAAAAATCTATGTTTGCTAATGACTTCCAATTTTGGTATTAAAATTCCAAGTTCTCCTGGGCTTTCCATTCCATATTCTACAACAAACATGAAACATGTGTGTTTTGGCAGTGTGCAGCAAAGAAAAACACAGAAGGCAGCAAAGCTCTTGCGGGGGGGGAACCAACATGTTAAGCTGTGTGGCTAGAACTTCCTAAGGACAGGAAATCTAAAACCAAACAGACAGTCTCCTAAGAGCCTTGAAGCAAAAGGAAAAGATGGTGTTCACTCAAGGTGCTGAACAGAACAGTAAGACCAGGGTAGTACAGAAAGATGAAAACGTGAAGGAAAGCCAAGAAGTGGACAGTTCTGAAAGCCTGTATAAAAGTTTGGAAAATTACTGTATAAAATTGGAAGTTATATGCAGATGTGGTGGCTACTTGGGAGGCTAAGACAGGAGGGTTGCAAGTCTGGGCCAGCAGGGCTACACAGTGAGGCTCAAGGCCAGCATGTGCAACTCAGCAAAGATTGACTCAAAAAAAAAAAAATTAAAACAAACAAAGTATAGGTGATGTAGACTAGTGATGGAGTGCTTGCTCAGTATAGCTGAGGCCTAGGGGTTTAATTACAAACAAATAAAGTGGAAAGTTACAAAAGTTTTTCAGCAGAGGACTTTAAACTAGAGTTTAAGGATGCTTAACCTGACAGATTTTTGAAGACAGACTAGAAGTACAATCTCAACTGAGGACAACTAGAAGTACTGAGAAAGTAAGGCACATGCACATGAACTTTAGAAATAGAATCATACAAGAAAACACTACACAACAAAACTTCAAAGGGCAATTCAGGCAAGAAGACAGTTGCTGCCAAAGAAAGAACATGAGCATAACGATTTCAATATCATCAAAATTACAGATGGCCTAATATTAATAAACACTTCAAATTGACTTTTCTCATAATTTTTTCTACATCATTACTTTTTCTTATTTCTTGGGATGGAAAGAAAAAATCAATATATTTACAAGAAACAAAGAAGGTCTCAAATTTTAACCTTCTATGCCACGCAAGTTAATAAAAGATATTAATGAACTATCTGTATTTTATTTTAATGAACTCTGAATATTTACAACTTCCAAAATAAAAGTGTTTTTAAGATATAAGTGGCAAAGTTCTTTGCAAGTTTTAACAGTAATAATCTATCTCATCGCAGTCTTTTATTTTGACAAATGTTAATTATATTACCAGAGCCCTGTGAATACTCTAGAAGATATACTTAAGTATAAGTAAAAAACTAGGAACATGCACCAGCATGCTTGCCCTGCCTGTTCCTATGCCCTTTTCTCTTCACAATACTACATGTTAGGAGAGGTAGGAATCGTTATCATCTGTGTGAGTGATGTGAGTATTCGTTATGTATGAATTAAAAAACCAATGTTCTTCTGGGTATTAGTAGCACCCTTTAGTTCCAGAACTCAGGAGGCAGAGGGAGGTGGAGCTCTGTGAGTCTGAGGTCATTATGGTCTATACAGAGAGTTCCAGGACAGTCAGGGCTATATATTGAGATCCCATCTCAAACAAACAAACAAACAAACAAACCCAATGTTTTCTAAAACCAAAATATTCCTACTGATTTGGTTGCTGTCAGGGCCTAACAGCTTTTGAATTCTTTAACAGTTATTGAGATATGCAATGCAACAAGCTTTGATGAGTACAGCATGTCACAAGTCTCAATATTAGCACTGAGCAATGTTAATACTACCATTGAAATTCTCCTGGAAGCAGAGGTGATCTGACAAGCAATTTTTTTTAATTTAATTTTACTTTTATTTTATTTTATGTGTATGCATGTATTGCCTGTAAGTAGGTAAGTACACCCATGTCGTGCAATGCCCGCGGAGGTCAGAAGGGGCTGTCTGATCCCCTGGGACTGGAGATACAGACAGTTGTTAGCTGCCATGTGGGTGCTGGAATTTGAACCCAGGTCTTCTACAAGAACAACAAGTGTTCTTAACCACTGAGCCATCTCTCCAGCCCTGATCAAGCAATTTTTGAAAAAGGCATATGTTTTTAAATGATAAATTGTTTTCAAAAAACAATTAATGATAAAGTACTTACCACACTCAAACTGACAGGAGTGTTTGCCTTTGGTACAGGGTGGTTATAGAGTGATTTCAGAGTTTCATTCAAATCATTTTCCTGAAACAAAAAAAGTTCATTTAATAACTAAAATACGTAGCAAAAAAATATAATTAAAAGTATCTTTGTACATTACTAACAGGAATGTAAAATGGTAAAGCCATCATAGACAAAGATATGTTCCTTCTTCAAATAATGAAATACACAACTATCCTATTATCTGACATTTATGCTTCTAAATAGACACGAAAAATAAAATCTGCTTTAACTACAAGATGAGTTTGCTTTATTTTACCTTGTTTTGTTTTCCTGTTTGTTTTCTTTTTACTAGGGGCCTCGTGCATGTCTAGGAAAGGTAATACCATTATCACTGAGCTATATCTGGGGCCTTCTGGAAGAAGCAGGTGTATAATCACCTTCACAGATGTCTCATTCACAATAGACAAAGAGTAGGGACAACCTACATGTCTATTAACAAAGGAATGAATAAACAAATTGTAGTGTATTCATGCAATGGAGTACTGTTCAACTTTAAAAAGGATGGAAATTCTGACATATAGTATGTTAGAACCCTGAACATATTGTACTAAATCAAATAAGCCAGTCACATAAGGATAAACATTGTTTAAGATCCCTCCTAGGGGGGATACCTACATTCAAGAAGGCAAGCATAGGTAAAATGGTGGTTGCTAGGAAATCAGTAGAAAAGGAAATAGCAAGTTATTAAGGTACAGAGTTTGGGCATGAACAAACGAAAAGTTCTACAGACGTGCTGTATTGATGGTTCAAAACAATGTGAATATGATAAATGCCATAAAACTATACTCTTTTGTTGTGGACAAGGTCTTCCTAGTCCCAGTCCACCTGGAACTCACTATGTAGACCATGATGATCTTGACCTCACAGAAATCTGCCTGCCTCTGCCTCTCTAGGGCTGGGATTAAAGGCATATGCTACAAACCCAGGGTAAAACTATATTCTTAATGACAAAAATTGCTAATTTTGTGTTATGTATATTTTTACACAATAAAACAATAGAGAAAAAACATGGCTTACCAGTTCCTTAGCCAAGTAATCTGCCAAAGTATTTAGAAGTTTATAATAGACTTCAAACCATGGCAAGTAACTGTGAAAAAAAAGAATTTTTAATGTATATATAAACACCTGAAATTTAGAACCAATAAATAAGCATACAAAATGAATACTAACTTTATATTCTTTCAAACAGATTGATCCCATATAACATAAAAGAACTATGCTCATGTTTTCTATACCATTTCAGAAAAAAAATGTATCATTTATTATTAGCTATAAAACAAATGACTTTAAAGTTCTATTATTGAAGTGATGTTTACTATTTTATGTCATCAATACACTTGAAACTATCAAATACTATTTCATAGCCAAGTATAAAGAAAAGCTAATTTAAATTTTTTAAAACAATGTACATCTGCAGTTATATATAACTTAATTGCAGAAACACTGAGAAGAGTTTCCTTTAAAAAATGTGTCCTTCTTCATGTGAGCATCAGAGAATTACACAAATTCAAATGGCTTCATTGTCACTAGCGAATAAAGCCTCGCAGGATCACCACTGTACAATGGTCTGGCATTGACCTACATGTCATGTAGCACATGCCTGAATCTCTCTGTAAACTTTACCCAATTGCTATATATAACAGAATCATGTTCATAATTAATTCTTCAGAATTAATGTAACTATCATTAGAAATATAGAAATCCTCTAAAATTTATAAATACCATAAATGGCTTTTCAATGCCAAATCTAATTATGATTTAAAATTAATTTAGCAACATCAATGTACTGATTATCAATTTATCTAATCTATCTTTTTATTTATTTTTAGATAGGGTCTCATAATGTAATCCAAGCTGCTCTAGAACTAACTATGTAACAAAGTCTGATTTCTACTTCATATTGATTCTCTTGCTTAGTCTTCTCTTCCAAGTGCTAGGATTAGAGTTGTGTAAACCATGCCTAGTTTCAAAGTATACTTTTATGAAAAGTAAAACACTAAATAAGAAAATTATCCATATGAAATAAAATATACGTTCCATATTACCAAATTAAAATACGAGTATATTTAAAATCAGTAATTAGTATAATGTGTATTTTTCCATATAGAAAAATAGTAAATCACAAAAGATATATGGTTGATTAACAATTAATAAAAACTCCCTTTTATCTGAATCATTTGTACAATGAGTTACTTTAAGAGAAAAATATTACTATATTTTTACTACATACTTGTTTACAGAGAAAACTACATTCATTAAAATTTTTAAGAATAAGCCAGGTGTGGTGGCACACGCTTTTAATCCCAGCACTTGGGAGGCAGAGGCAGGCGGATCTTTATGAGTTTGAGGCCAGCCTAGTGTACATAGTGAGTTCCAGGACAGGTGGGGCTCAAAAAAGACAAAAAAAATTAAGATTAAAATGAAAATTCAATGGCTAGATCTTGGACAAGACCCAACCTCACACTCGCAGTTTTTTCACAGAACAGCTGACCATGAGCATTGATGAACAATGCTTTTTCAATCAAGGACAATCTAAAGCTGTAACAAAAGATGAGCCAGTATCTTTACTCATCAGAATAATAAAGAGAGGGTTCTTTAAATGATAATTACAGAATATATAAAACATGCCTACAATACTGAAATATATCTACCCAACTTCTGGCTCAGAAAATAAATATATTCATTTAATTCTATACTCACTGAAAATACCACTAAAATGAAAATAAGTGAATAAAAAGTATAAATTCTTGAGTTCAAGAGAAATGGAAAAAAATGGAAGCACAAATGGACTGTTTTATAAAGATGATAAGCACATAGCATTATAACTGACTTACAAAATGGTAGTGCCAAGAGAAGAAAAACTTCTGCCAGGCTTAAATCCCATCGGCTTCTCAAACACTGGCTTAGGATTCTCTCAAAGGAGAAGAGCACCTTATGGTCCTATGTTCTTGTACTTAACAATTTTCTAATTCAGTACACCACATTTTCCTTCAATATAAATTAACAGCCTAGGGCAACAAGATGGTTCAGTAGGTAAAGCACTTTCCATAAAAGCTTGATAATCTAGGTTCAATTACCAGAACCCACATAAAGGGGAAAGGAGAAAACCAGCTCCCAAAAGTTGTCCTCTGACATCTGCATGTGCACCACAGCACACACATACTCAGACTTCATTCATATACAACAACAGTAAGTTTAATAAATCAGCCTCACCACATGATATATGAAGAAATACAGTGACAAATGTGTTTATAATGGACAAATTTTAAAAATGACAAGTAATCACAGATCATACAAACAGAAAAGAACTTGAAATATCTTCCTTTATCTCTTTAGGAGGTGAATAAAACAGGGTGCAATAAAACAAAACAGCACTTGATTGCTTCCCAGAACTTGAAAGTAAGACCCTATTGCTGAAGACAGGACATAATTTGAACACAGGACTTGAGTCGGAACTGACCTAGAAGCCTCCTCCCTGAAGACTAGCTTCCATAATATTAAAGGACCAGTGTAGCAACCTATTTCTATTGGTACAGTAGTAGCACTCACTTTAATCAAAGAAGCTATTTTTGCAACAGATGGAGACTATTACAGGGTTCTACAACTAGTCACACATAGAGAATAATTGTTTCAGAGATGCACAACCCTAAGTGACACATCTACAATGGAATTTCTACACCTGCAGCTCAGGGAACATAGCAGAATAGAGGGCAGAGAAATGTTGATGCATCTCTTAACTCTCACCAGTGAAAAGAAGGCAAATGGCATAGAAAGTCACAACTGACTTAAATGTAGAGAATAAGAGACTGCAGAGTGTGTGTCTCTGGATAGGACTCCTATATCAAACCTTACCCACTCAGGGCTCAGGGACGATTGTGGAAAGAAAGAGCAGAAAGATTTTTAAGAGCCAGGTGGTGGATGACCTGCAAAGAAACACAGTTTTCCAGGATTCTGGGAACTTACTCATATGAACTTACAGCAATGGTGACAGCATGCAGAATGCACATGCAAATTCAAACCAGACAAAAACCCCCGCATAGGACTGGGGAAGTAGGTAAGAAGCCCTAACCTTAGCAGAGGAACTACTGGCAGCTGATCACCACTAGGTGATGGAAAGTTGGTCTTCTTTAAGAGAAGAAGATACTAGTTAAGTTGACCATGCTCCAGGGAATGAACTTGCACAGAGGGGCATCTGGGGACACAAACTTGATTTAATAGGCCTTAACATATATGACAGAATGCATGAAATCTGGTGGGAGGGGCTTTGGGGGTAGTGCAGATAGGAGAGGGGGCCTAATATGATCAAGTTGTATTATATGAAATGCATAAAAACGCAAAAAAAAAAGTTTTCAGTAGATAATGTAATTATTAGAAAACAGAAAAAAAGCAGGATGGCTTAGGGCAGCCGGAGCTCATTACTGGAGCCCAGTCTAGAAGGGTGCTCACAGGAAGCCTGCTGATACTTTGTGTGAAGACTGGAAAAGTTTAATGGGTAAATGACACATCTGAAAGCATTTGGGGAACATGAAATTCATAAATTATTTAATACATTATTAACTACTGAAACACTGGTTTTTAAATAATAATTAACTATATGGTTCATTTACCCAAAATATGAAACCCTTGAGATTGCTAACACATTTTAAATATCAACCCAATATGATGCACATCATTAGACCATCATGGTTTCCTTACTTACTATAACTCAGGGATAATCTGCCCTTTCATGAAGACACACTGTAGTGTAAGAATGCCTTTCTTTCATTTCTGTTTATTTCATATTCACACTTCAACTTTTTTTGGCCTGAAGATATTGCTACTTCAAGAAAATTTCAGTATGTCACATACCCCAGACATATGTGTCCAGATAAAATAAGATCTAGCCTAACCTGCTCTCAAGGACTTAAATGAAATTTATTGATTTTAGGTGGTCACATCTCCTTTCCTGGGTCATTATAACAAATGAAAAGTATGGGGCTGGAGAGATGGCTCAGTGGTTAAGTACACTGACTGTTCTTAGAGAAGACCCAGGTTCAAATCCCAGCACCCACATGGCAGCTAACAACTATCCATAACTCCAGTTCCAGGGGATCTGATGGCCTCTTCTGTCCTCTGTGGGCATTGCACGACACGGGTGCACTTACCTACATGCAGGCAATACATGCATATACAGAAAAATAAAAATAATAAAAATAAATAAATAAAAAGTGTAATTTATAACTACAAGCTAGTAAAGTTTAAATCTTTTCCTACCTAGAACAAATACCTTAGCAATCCTTGTTTTCTTACCTGCATTATTGCTTTTCATTGGTTATCTTCCAATTTCCTTTCAAATTGTGAAGATAAAGTGGAACTCAATTTTGCATTAAGCACCTAATAAGGCTATTTACTTATTTTTGTAGTGATAAATTGAATTAATAAAGAACATTATTTGTTATCTTCACATTTCATTCACTTATTAAATTTTCAAGGTTCTTGTTTGTGATAGACATTTAGTGTCTATATAATTATTACTGTTTGCGAATGTCCAAAAATAGCTTCTTTGTATTTCATCCTGGTAAAAAGACTAAGTCTTTATCTATAAAGTAGACTAATACTATTTAAAAGCAAGTTTTACCTTTGCAGTATTTTTCTCACATTCATCTCCAAGGCTCATTAAACTTTATTTTCAAGTTGTATCCCCTGCAATTCTAGCTACTTTAACACAAAAATTCTGTTATTCTTAAAATTCTACCCTTATGCCCAAAAGGCACAGAGCTACCTTACTAGGCACTAACTTACTATACACATAACCAAATGCTGTGTGCTTTATACGTATCACGTCATTTATCCATTATGAGAAACTCTGATGTTTATTTGACTGCACTAAGAAATATCCACTTATTCATGGTGACAAAGCTACCAACAGTCAGCGTGGGATGAGAATTCTAGTCAACCTGGCTGAGTAGTTTGTGCTCAGGACCCATCATAGACAGTTAAACTGTAAAAATATTCAATCTAGCTTAAATTTTCAATTCTTTTGTAAACAATTCTTGCTATATAGACTAGGCTGTCTTTGAACTGGTAATCCCCTTGCCTAAGCCTCCC